GTATAAAACAAGAAGCAAAATGGCATGTATAATATGATACTAGTTTTTAAAAAAGTGTGTGGGTATTAAAGGAGTAGAAAATATAATTTGAAAAACAACAACAATGGGCTATTATCTCCAGCTATTAGAGATTTTAATGTTTTATTTTCAGTTTTATACCTTTCTCAATTTTTACTGGGTCCAAATTCCCTTATCCTTCTTGTCTTCTCCAGGTTAGTAATTGATGATTACATTATAGCAATTGTTATTATTCAAATGTCAAGGTAGAGTCATTGTGAGCTCAGTAGAGAGAGTATACTATGTGCATAAGTATCAGAGAGTGTGTGTGTACACACAGACAGACACACACATAAAACTTTCACAGGGCACCATCATCCTGTGACTTCCCGCCTCTGGGTCATCTGCATTACCCACAGCAGCTTAGACTTTGCTTTTTACAAGGCTGAACTCACAGTGCCTAGGAGAGTATTTCGTACACAGCAAGTACAAAATAAATGTACAGTAAAATAATTCAGTATCATTTTTATAAGACAACAAATCTATAAAGCTTTTTTTTGGTAAATTAAGTGGGTCTGTGGGATTAAACATAAGAAAAGTATTGTTATTCCTAGGATTAAGACAAAAGACAGATTTTTCTTGTGTTTAAAGCAATGTTTAAAAAAATTTAAATAATGTCATAAATTTCTTATAAAATCATTTAACGTAAGTTAATTGACATATTGCTAAAATGAAATTCAGGAGTAAAAATAACCTGAAAGAACTAAACTGATACAGTGCAGGTACGAAGCACTGTTTGTATAGAATAAGTTACAGAGGCTGTGAGAGAATCCATGGCCCACTTAACCTTTAACCAATTCTCCATAAACACCATGTTTCTTAACTGAACTTTGGCGTGTATTGAGAAGCAATGATTTTGAGGTTTTACTAAAAAGTACTAGGAATGCAGATAGTCTCTAACACTGGTTAACTGGAGATCCAAGAGCTTTAACAGGTAGTCACCAAGCAGTTGGAAGGGTAAGGCACAGGTTTGGCAGTTAGAAGGACCTGGGTCTACGACCTAACTCTACTATTTCCTAGACACTGAGCTTAGTCAGAAGTTTTGTGAGGGTCAGGTGAGGTTTATAGGGTTTGTAGAGAAAGATCTAGGTGAAGAGTAACAAAAATATGACTCTTACAAAATATTATTATATTTTGGTCTGTTATACTCCTCTTTGTTTTTATAAAATTTGAGTAATAAATATTTAGCTATTTTGAATTTATTTCTAATTTGGGGACTGAGTTTCTTCAATTAAGCCAGTGAGTCCAAACTCTCTAGGATATCCTTCATTCTTTCAAAATAACTTGAAATAACTTTGTTAAATAGAAAGAAGCAAAGAAAATGAAAGAAATCTCTTCATTCAAAGGGAAGGAGGAAAGAGGAAGGAAGGAAGAAAGGAAAAAAGGGAGGGAGGGAGGGAGGGAGGGAAGGAGGGGAAAAAAAGAAAAACAGAAATATTATTGAGCATTATGGCAACATGTCCCTGGGCAGTATCACCAAGAAAGCTGTAATTCCCTTAGAAATTGGAAACCTACACACTCCTTATATTATCTTAGAAAATTTAAAGGAGCACATTCATTAACATTTTCTTGTCATTAACTAATAAACATTGAATATTCCTAATCATATTTTACTTGTGTTAGGTCCAAATGAAGAAGCATTGGACAATTCCATTTATGACCTAAGGTAATGCTTTTGTGGTTGGTAGCCACTGTGTGTATTTACATAGGAATATTCCACTGGAAGTAATCGGGACATCTTTTTTCGACCAATACTGTTGAAAATTACATATAAACATGCTTTCCATAAGTTCTAGTTTCAGAATTCTTTTGCTTGGAATTAAAAAATTTACTTTTACTTTCCCTCAACATGTTATATTCCTTGAAAACCAGAGGCCCCCTCAAAGGGTACTACTGAGTTCTTTTTCCAATGACCTGTTTTGAATTTAATTTTTTTCTTCTTTACTATTTAACTTACCAATACTCTCAGAAATTCATTTGTTGCTACTGTGCTCAGTGTTTCAAACAATGTCCACATGCTTTTAGGAGCATTTTCCCAATTAAATAGAATAAAATATTCTATCAATAAATGAAACTCTTTATAAACAGCAAATGTGGAAAGGGACATATTTCCTTAGACTACTTCAGGGCATCTGCCTTCTTGTTTTAGTAGATTTAGACCTAACGATAATGAAGACTTAACACTATACATTTCTAAAATATATAAATTTTACAATGTTTAAAGCAAATTATGAAGGGGAAGGAAGTCAATTTTAGTAAAAGAAAAATAATAAACAAAATTTAAAATTTATAATATTTAAAGAGTTAATCTTTACTATATATATATATATATGTATCCCTAGAGTGTGTGTGTACATATGTATATATATATAGCATGAAAGTTTATATATGTATATGTATGTATATATACACACACACATATATATAAACTTTTATATAAATAGAAAGGAATTGGTACTAACATTTGAGTGGCACAGTGACACAAACCCAAAATACACAGCATTAATTTTGAGACAATATGACAGTACAGTGGTACTGTGTCCTCCACCTGTCATATTGTCTATCAGTAGAGACAGACACAAGAGTAAAGAAGTTGTTTTAGAGGGCTGAAGACAAGAGAATTTGTGCTAATTATTGTCGGAACAATTAGCCTGACCACAGCCTACAAAAACTGGGAAGATAGAAAGTGCACCTATAATATGTGGATCGGCTACGGGAGCTTCACAGCAAATAATTGACAGTGTCACTTATGACCTTTAACCACGTATAACATTATGTTGAACAGAAAATGGAACTAAAGAAAAAAAGTTTATTTTTCAAGTATAATTTAGAAGATATATTTCCAACTCAGGATGTGCTGATTTAGAAAATAAAAGTTTCACATTTACAATATTGTCAGCGGGCAGAAGATTTCCCTAGTTAAGACATTGTCTCTCAGAAGAGATTAAATTCAGAATGCTGTCTGCAAGTCAAGATCAAATCAGTGATGTAGCCCTAAGACACATTGTTAAGACCTCAGAAAGATTTCAGAGACTTTTCCAGCTATATAAAAGTTCTAACAATCTTAAAGATGTCCCATGGCATCCATTTTTACCTTTCATGCTAGAGAGAACAGCATGTCTTGAGAAGATTTGTGGGTATGTATTTTATTCTTTAGATAGGGATGGAATTATAATTTGATGCACAGAAATCAAGTAAAAATTTTTAAGAGTTGTAGCAGCTTGGAATAAAAGGGTAGAAATAGTTCAACTAACAGCTTGGAACACCTTATTCTATTTTAAATTGCCTGGCGGCCTATTGCTAGTCTGTAGAGTTTAGTATTATTTTTAAATAATAACAGCAAGAAGAGAAAATATAGCTAGTATTTATTGGCCAATCTTAAACACCAAGCATTGTGCTAAGGTTATTTTATGGAATATTTCATTTATACCTCAAAACAAACCTCTGCATTTTTTAACTGTACAAACATTTTTATCCACATCTAGATTTTTATCCCAAGGGCTTTATCAGAAATAGAGATGATATATACATCTGTATGATGCCCAGAATGGCATCATTTATAAGAATAAAATCATAAAGAAGCCTCAAAGTCAGATAAAAAGAAAGTTAAATTAAGAATCTTTCACATAATGGCTTATAATGCATTCATTAATTAAAGTATATGAGTTAAAGTAATTATTGCTTTCATTTTAAAGACAGGAACACTAAGAATCAGTGAGATTATGCCATCTAAAGTCACACAGAGTTTGGCAGACGAAAGATTTAAAACTAGGTATTATGACTTCAGAAGACCATTCCAAAAACCTGTAATATTGTAAATACATTGGATCAAATTATAATTCATATAAGAAAATGAACCACACTACAAATATCTGTGCATTGGAAAAACTTCACTTTGCAACAGAACACATCTGTCTTTTACAAGATTTACAAGGCTACACGCCCTTGCAGGTGATGTGCACTCATTTCTGGGTGTGTGCTTTAGAGAAGACTATGAACTTTTCACTCATCCTTAGCCAGAGAGGGAACCCCTGGGTCCCACCTGCCATCATATTGCCTATTTCTGAACCAAGGAGCATTATCTAGATTCCAGATGACAAAGACAAAAGGTCATAGGGGAAATTTTACGTGAGGGAGGCCTTCATGCAGCTGGAGACAACCTGCTGGTTTCTGTTGAATAAGGCAGAGCTTTACCTGCGCTATCTTCTATGTATGCCTTTACCACAAACTCACTTTATATTTTAAATAAATGCCTATAGACTTTTCCTCTTGTTAAAAAAAGAAACAGAAAAATGATGAGACTGAAAAAAATCTACATTAATGAAGAGCTATAGCTGAGATCTGAGGTACATGCAAAAGTAAAAAATCCTAAATCATGGTTCCCATAGCAACTGCAACGCAGTTGGATTTCACTTTCATGTTAAGTAAGTTTAACTCGGGTGGGAATGCAAAACACTGCCTCTAAGCCTAAAAGGGAATCATGGAGAACACAGAGATATTGGTCCAGATTCTTCTGGCTTTCAGGTGTGACAAATATCAACCCTAATATGTGTTAACATTTTCACACCGAAACTATAAGTTCCTTCATATTAATGTTAAGTTCTCTTTATTCAATTTAAAAATATGATGATTTAAAATGGGAAAAATTCCCATTAAATCTATTAAACCAGAGGCCAAGACTTTATAATATGGAAATACAAGGGTACAGTTCTACTTCTAATTACAGAAGAAAATTTAATGAAAGCACTATTGATGAGAACAATCTAATTACATTCATTGTCATGTGCTTTAAATGTGACATTTCAAGTTCTTGTAGATGTAACCTGAAACTATGAAAACAAACACATAGTACTTCAAGGAGAGGGTATACATACACATCGTAAAGACATTTTCATATCTTTTTCTATTTGATAACATTTTTAAAAGGCAAAAAGAGTACTTACTCCTTTTATGTAACGAGGTCTATATTGAATAGTTCCAAATAAACCAAGAATGACGATAATAATATGTACAAAATTTGCCAGGATAGGTGCCCACTGATATCCAAGGAAGTCAAATATTTGTCTCTCCAGCACACAAACCTAGAATATCAAAAAGGGGGATATATATGTGAGCATACTGATGAGAGGGAAAAAGAGCACATTGACACTATACTTAGTGATTATAACTCTGTTACCATATCTGGCATTTGCCTTTAACAGAATGACCTTTTCAGGTGTATTTCAAATGAAGACACCAACAGTCCTCTCAGGGATGAGTATGTGGAGACTTCAAGCAATATTCACAGGACATCATCTGTGAGTCACAGGATAAATTATATTGTCATATTCACTGTCAACAACTTGAACTCATCCACTAGAAAGTTTGGAAGTCCATTGGCTAGGTTTGTTGTTAGTATCTGCTGAACGTCATTATACAAGGGGATGTAGTAGAAAAAGAACCACTCGAGTTGAGACCAGATCTGCCACTAAGTAGTTGCAGTGCCCTAGGTGAGCCATTTCCCTTCTCTAGGAGTCTGATTACTCATTTGTAAAATGCAAGGCCTCACCAATTTCTAGGGTTCTTCTAACCCTAAGAGTATTGGCTTATAAATCAAACATGCCTTTTTATCACACTGTTACCTATAGTAACCAGGTAAAAAGAGGGCTCTGAAAGGGAATTAAAAATAGAGTTAAAGTTCCATTCCAATGGAAAAAATAAAGCATTTCAAATTCTCCCACACTCGTCTATACCTACAGTTTTACAATTAAGGCACATGTCAAAATCTAAACATGAGAGGAGAAAAACAAGTCAACAAACCAAGTAACCAAAAAATAAAAAAATAAAATTAAGGTTTGTTTATACCGCAGCAGTGCCATTTTATATTGAGAAGTGAGATCCGGACAGCTGGTAAGTCTCTCTTACATCTCACAAAGCCAGGAGGGCTGGTGTGAGTGAAACCCAGCTCTATTCTTCTGGTGCCCAGTTGCCAACTGTCTGTTCGGAGTGAGTGAGACATTGTGAAAGGACCTGATGTTCCAAACAAAGATCCGACACTCTTTTCTCATACAAGTTTTACAGGAAAATTATTTTAAAGCCCCTAATTTACTAATATCACTATGCTTTAAAGTTATTTCTTGTCAGAAAGACATACTAATCTTGAAACAGAAAGTAGAATTTTAAATTAGATACATGTAGCTCAGTTTGAAGACTTCTTAAATAATCATCATTCCCACTGCCTGCCTTCCTTCCTTCCTTCCTTCCTTCCTTCCTTCCTTCCTTCCTTCCTTCCTTCCTTCCTTCCTTCCTTCCCTCTTTCCTTCTTCCTTCCTTTCTCTCCCCTCCCCCTTTCTTTCTTTCTTTCTTTGCCCTCTGCCTCTCTTTAGCTGAACAGCACGTTTTCCCATCAGGCACTGAGAGAAAAAATAAGCTCGTGACAGCTATTTGCATAACACCTGTATTTCCTAAGATACACTGGGTACCATCATAATGGTTGGGTTGTAACAGTAACAGTCCTGCCTAGTCAAATCTCCATTTTCAGTGCACGGGTTTGGGTTTATGGCGGGACCACCCCCTGAGTCTCTCCTAGCGCCCCATGCCCTAACAAACTGTGGCCTGAACCACTGCCAAGCTTCTGCCCGTAGGCTGCAGGCAAAAAGTGGGTTAGACAGTGGAGAAAAATCTTTATTTTCACTTAGTCATGGCAGTGGTTACTAAAAGAGAATCCAGGTCTGTTCTACCCTGCATAATTTAAACCCACAATCCCAACAGAGTCTCAACAGCAGAATGTAGTATTTTGATTGATTAATGAACAGACTGTCATAGAACTTGCACATACGCCCCAGACTCCTAAGCCTTGAACTGCCTTCTGATGAAACCTCCCTCCAACTGTTACCACGCAGTCAATACTTCATATAAAGGAGGCCCACTGTGGTGTAAGGCAGTGGTGCATGTGCCTTGTTGGAATGCATCAATGGCATCAAAAATAGGTGGTTAGTCTTAGAGTACCATTGATAATCACCTATGTAAAAGCTCACTCCTAAAGAGATTTCTCTTCCCCTTATTGTATGAATAAACAGTAAGTAGGAAAGTAAAACATCAGCAAGAAGAATCTAAACTCTATAAATTATGAGCATCATAACTGTGGGGACACAACAGGGAAAAAGTATAGAGGATGAAGTACATCAGTCAAACAGTGGGTAATCTCCCAATAAATGTTCTATTATGGAGGAAAATAGCAGTACCATCATTAATTATAAAAAATATAGAGAGGATGATACACTTGCCACAACTGCAAAGATAAAATGAAGTTACATCAACATGTATCAGCCTTTTTATGACAGAACTAATAGTTCCATCAAACATTACTTACAAGTTTATGCAGACTGAGTAAGTTAATGTGCCATTCTTCACTTATAATTGTTCTACATTTCTCCTCTTTTTGATTGGCCCTATTAGATATCACAAGTAGCTTTATCACAGATTGTGTAATTTAGAGATAGGACTGAAGAATGGAAGATTTTTCTGAAAAAATTCAGTGAGTATCCAGGGAGTGGTAACTTAGAGAAGCAGCTACAGTTTTTTCTAGCAATGCTCTCTAACAGGGTGTGTGCATCCACTGTGAAATTACTGGTGGGGGGTGCAGGGTTGGAGGAAAGGCAGAACAAATATTTGTTAAAACACATTATGTGCTGGGGATTTACAATATTCACAATTCATATATTATCTCATTGACTTTGCACAAAACCCAGGGAGGTAAATATTACTGTCTCATTTTTCAGATTAAGAACCAAAGAGGCAGTATGGCTACGTGATTCTGCTGAAGTCTGAGAAGTGGTAGGTGGTAAAACAGAAATGTAGGTCTCTGTGCATGGCCCCTGTGCTCTGTCCTTACTTTCTGGACTCCATCTCCAAAAAAAAAAACAAACAATAAAAAACAACAACAAAACAAAACAAAAAGAAAAAAATGCTTTCACAGTTTATGTTGCAGCCCTCTGCTCGTTAGAGGGTATATGCTACATTCTTGCCTCATGTTTTCAGTGTAGGAAAACATGTTTTTGCCTCTTTCAACCCATGTTCTTACTCTCACTGAAATATATTGTAATATTACTTTCTGTAATATATGGACTTTATGTCCTTTCAATCACCTGACTTACAAATATATGTACATGGCCTTGAAAAACATTACACTGCTGTTGAGTGTGTGTCATTTTATATAAAATATCTTATGGAATAAGTCTCTTTCATGCTTGTCTATTTTTTTCTATATAAATTTGTTTGTATGTGTGTGTGGTTGACTTCTGCACATTAGCCTATTATAAACTCGTAACTTGTTGCTTTCCACAAAGAATTCTGTTCCCTTCCATTATTACCACTTACGAAGTGTTTACTTTTTAAAATAAAAATAGAGGCTAATCTTTAACAATTATTATTCATGCATGTACTAACATAATTAATCCATTCTCTTTTGTTAGGTCATTAATGTAATTGATTGCATTTTTAGTTTTTGTCATGTTCAACTCTGACCTCGCTGAGAAAAATCTCTACTTGAAATATTTTCATTACAGTTTCGGTTTGGGTTAAAAATAAAATTTCATTTGGCAGCTTTGTATCAATAAACTAACCTATAATTCAATTTTCTGTATCTCTCTTTCTCTGGCGCTGTTATAAACATTGCTCCAGCCCTAAAACATAAATAAGACACAACATTTATTTAAATGCTTAAACTTGAGATAACCCATCCAGTCTTAGCAACCTTTCTCAGTTTGAGGAAGCACACTTCAGTGCAGAGCTTTTCAAAAAATACTGTGAGGAATACCAGCACATAGACAGATGCACAGGGTGGGGCAAAAGTAGGTGTGAAGGGGCTCACATAAAAAATAACACAATAATTAATAAATAGCAGTGCAAGAATCAACTCTGTGTTTTGTGTACTCACAACTGTAAACCTACTTTTGCCACATCCCAATGTGTATATAAATTATTTTCACATCATTTTATTTACAGAAACAGGACTATATGCAGATATGGCTTTCCATCTTGCACTTTTCACTAAGCGATGTGTAATGGAGGTTTCCCTACATTAGCACATCCCTCACTTATACAGCTCTATCTCATAATGCCCTGAAACAGTCCATTTTATCATATATTGAATTTCCCCCCAATTTTTGGCTATAACACACACGAGTGCATTAAACAGCCTTATACATGGATGTTGATATAACCACAGGCTAAATCCCACAAAACAGAAATACTGGGTCAAACTATGATTGTAAACATTAAATATTATAATAAATATTATTAATTCTTCTTTGATATACATGCATGTACTGGTAAAACAGAAAATTAACTTTTTTATATCATAGTAAATGTGAGTTGTAATTCACTTTTACATTATAGTGAATGTGAATTTTAATAGTTATTTTTCACCTAGCAGAATAGGCTTAAACTAAAAAAGTTTTCAAAAATCTATTAAGTGCCATTACACAGAGTTTATCTTACCATAAATGACAACAAAATTCACAATAAGTTTCTGCAAATTATCAAGATAAAATAAATGTATTGACTTTTCAAACTGGAAGAGACTCCATAGTCCTCAATTTATATCTGAGAAAACTGGGACGAATAAAATAACCCTTTCTAAAATACTTTTAAGATCTTATTTACTCATTTTTAGAGAGGGGGGAAAGGAGGGAAAAAGAGAGGGAGAGAAACAGTGATATGTAAGAGAAACATAGATTGGTTGCTTCTTGCGTACGGGCCCCCAGCCCAGGCATGTGCCCTAACTAGGAATCAAACCGGCAACCTTTTGGTTCACAGACTGGTGCTCAATCCACTGAGCCACACTGGTCAGTGCAAAAATAATAATTTTTTTCAATATTTTATTTATTTATCTTTAAAGGGGAAGGGGAGGAGAGAGGGAGGGAAATATCAATGTATGGTTGCCTATCGTGTGTCCCCTGCTGGGAACTGGCCTGAAACTCAGGCATATGCCCTGACTGGGAACCAAACTGCGATCCTTTGGTTTGCAGGCCCGTGCTCAATCCAATGAACTACATCAGCCAGGGTTGAAGAAAATAATAATATTTTAAAGCAAGTTTGACATAATAGAAGAGAATTCAGTTGCCAACAAGTTTGCTTCAAATGTTTGCAATGCAATGGAAACTTTAGTATTCCTAGTTAGCTGTTGCCATTTAACTTTATTAACAAAAAAATCACATGTACGTGTACACATTAAAAATTTTAAAGCCAAAATGGTGTATTTATAGCTGGTTGTTTTTGACTGGTAGGAAAAAAAAAGGTTTTCTTGAGACACTGCATTTTGCTCAGAATAACTAAGATTTATTAATAACTTTCCTCCTAGCATTAGTATAATTTTCTGAAATCTTTAAAGTTTAATTTGTGACTTGTTATACAAATAATGCAAAATAAATCTTATATGTGGCCTTTGAGAGAAAAAATTCTTTTAATTCTATCATAGTAGAACATGAACTTCTTGATTTTAAAAACATGAGAGTGTTATTAAAGTCTAGAAAATAAATTAAATTTTAGTGCTAAATTATAAAATGAAATTATCTATGGGCCCCCCTTGTTATCATCCTATACTCTTCTCTTTTCAGTATCTTCACCCTCCTTCAGGAACCTGAGCTTCTACCTTGTCTTAATACTCAAGTCTCTGAGGACTCAAGGTCAGGTGCCATTCGAGCCAAGTGCGCCCACCAAATTTCATTTTCATCATCCAAGTGCACTGCAGGGAAATGACAAAGCTTGTCCAAAGTTAATAAAATATATATTGTGGGATTTGAGGAATTCATAAAGAAATGGTTTGCATTTTAGTTGTTTGCAGAAGATTACTTACCTAACAAGTAACCTTAGCCCTGTTACAGTGGAAAAGTAGAAAATACTACTTTTCCTACTTGAGAGAATGTCAAGATGAAAATTGGAAAGGGCAAAAGAGTCCCCAAAATGGCCTGGAATTTTCATTTCTCTCACTGGGCCCATGGAAGTTGAGACAGACTTGCACGCACACCCACAGGACGGCCGTCTGTCTGTCAGAATGTAGTCAGTAGAAATGGCTGCCGACCCTTGCTTCTACATTCCAGTCAGGTGTGCACAGTTTATCACTCCCAGTGGAGCAGATAAGAAATTAGTTCTAGCCCTGTATCTTTGATCCATCCGTGACTCTGCTCCTTCAGTGAGACCTTCCAGCCAGCGATCTTGCCTCGACTTTAGTTTCTCCTGTACTTGACTCACTGGTGCAGCATTTTCTGTTTCTTTGCTGTCTACTCACCTTGGTAAAGCCCATACATTTTAATTCTGAACATATTCTGAACCTGTCTGACTCCAGATTCAAAAAGGATGCTCCATGTTGGTTTCTGTTATTTTTAAACCAGTCTCTTGAAAAGCTGTAAAAACTTTAGAAGTACTTTGGGTCTTTACAATATTGCTGAGCTGCTGAGGTCTTTAATGTTCCCCCACCTTAAGATTCTTTGTGTTGTTCATAGTGGACAACATGAGTGGGAACATGCATTCCAGCTTTAAAAATCTGACATGCATGTGATATACTGGAGACAATTCGCTATCATCTTACCAAGAGGCCTGATTCATATATGAAATGAAGATAATAAACTTGAAGAAGGGTCTGCAATGATCATATACGTAAGGCAGCACAAA